AAAAAAAAAAAAAAAAACACACACACACGCACACTTTGCAAATGTACCTTCTAAACAAATAAACACACTTTTAAAAAAGACATCTTAAAAGTTCAAGAGGCATAATTTATTGATCCAGACAGACAGGCAGACAGACAGACCGACAGACAGGTAGACTGTTAGACGAGATCATGTCGAGGTGGAGTCTCCCCCAACCCCCCAAAAAAACCACGACTTAAACATCTCATGGCATATTTATTCACAAAAACCAAGTAAAAGCAAGTTAAGTTAAATTTACATCAATCTTCCTCTATCAACAAATTATTTCGAAACCCTCTCAGTTGTCAAATCTTTTTTTTTTTTTTTCAAATTCATTTGTAACACTACTCGTCCTGATATTAGGTCTAGTGCACACTGTCAATCGAATTCAGTCGAATCAAATTCAGTCGAATCGAATCGGCGTTAGCTATATTATCCTTCAAGGTTAACAAAAACTACCATTTCGGCACACTGCAACCAATTCGACTAATGACTTGACCTTGAAACGTAAACGTGTTTGAATTTTATAGGGAATTGATCAATAACTATTGCGCCTAATAAATGGTAGCTTTTTTCCCTCAATGAAAGAAAGTCTGTCTATAAATAATATTATAAGCTCAACTGTATCAGCAAACTACCGTTGGTAAGCGATTCTGAGCGTGTTCGGGCAAAATTAGGTCAACATGTTTATACGGGGTGCCCTCTACGGATGGGATCGGCAGGTACGGCCCGACTCGGTCGCCTCAAAAACAAACGTGTTTGTTTTCAGTTTCAGGCGATCGAGTCGGGCGATCGGCCCTATCTAGCCGTAGTGGGCACCCCGCATAAGAGTGGGCATTTTCCCCCATACGCCTAGATCAAAATTCATACAACTAAAAACACGATAAATTTGCAGTTTTCAAGGTCACTACACCTGTGAAAGTTGCCAAACTTTAACGGTCATTTTTTTGTGTGCTAATTTTACTTCTGACACCAGGCGCCCCCCCTCCCCTCACCCACCAACCCCCCAACCTCCTTCAATTCTAGATGCCTCGACTTCTGTCCAATGTCCGAAAATTCGAGACTATTGGGTAGGCTTTTTTGTTCATCAAAAGTGAGACAAGGGAACACGCTTTTCCATTATGTGCTCACAAATTTAATACGAGCGCCTGCTTCCGCTTTGTCGTTACACTTGAAAATAACATTCTTTGCCCACAGCATGATCTATGTGGGTGTTTTGGGGTTTGTTTTGTTTTATGTTGGTGTTTTTTTGTGTGTGTTGTTTTTTTTAAATCCGGCCTGACCTGTAGTTGTTAGCGCTCATTATTCCCATAGCCCTCGGCTTGACTCGGAAAAGTTCCGTAATACGACGTTATCTTTCCTGTGGCCTTCAGGTTATGGAAAGTGCACATTGCCAAAAGTTTCATCAAATGCCTGTTTCATATTCACGTTGTCCGACTCAAAGTGTGCATCTGGCCCTCAAATAACCGTATGCAGTTGGGAGCGCCGTAAAACCTCTACTAAAACAAACAAAGTATGCATTCTCCAAATTAGGTCAAAGTCAAGCACTTCTTTTGTCTAGAAATATAAATCATCATTATCATCATATATAAAAGTATTTTTCTCGGCCATGATTACAATCATACCTGGAATACCTGGATGTGCCGTCTCGAATCTGACCCTCCACCCTTCACGGTTAAGAGCTGCCGTTGCACTTTTTGCTATATCCAGGCCAGTCTGTCTTTGTCTTAATTTAATATGTTGTCCGTCCATGTTACTCTTTGTCTTTTTCTTCCTCTCGTGGCTCTCCTGCACCACATCCTTCCTTCAACATCTCTTTCACAATGGTCTGGTATCGTTTGAAGTGACCAAAGTACTGTATTGTTCTATTATGATATAATATCATTATGATTATAACTCTGGCGATGCTGTAGTAGTAAGAAGATCACACTACACAAACAGGCATCCGTGGTGTAACCGTTAGGTGCTTCGCTGCTGCACGTATGAGACTCTAAACTAGTTCGATTCCCAAACAGGAAAAAAAAAATATTGATTAGGCTACCTTTGTCTTTCTTTTGGGATGATATAACCTTCTCAACCAGGGTTGACCCTGACACTAAGGGTTTGGGAGCCGGCCTCCTAAACGACCTAATTTGTGTCGATAGGGCATGAAAACTCCTACATTTTACCCCCCCCCCCCCCAACCCCCCCACACAAAAAACCCAAAACAAAACCTGTTTACTATCTATACAAAATTTTAGGAGTACCAAAAGAAATTGAATCTACAGATTCCTGGGCAATATGAGAAGGACATTACAATTCATTTTAATTATATTCTTTTTAACGTGTTGCCTTAATTTGGCGCGAACACGTTCAGAGTCGTTCACTGACGGTAGCTTGATACTTTTGTGCTTAGCCAGATTTTCTTTCATTGAGGGGAGAAAGCTGCAATTTAGTAGACACAATTATTGATCAAATTCCCTGTAAAATCAAACATATTAACGTTTCTAGGTCACGTCGTAAGCCGAATGGGTTGCAATCTGCCGAAATTGTAGTTTTTGTTTACCTTTCCATAGAGGAAAATCTGGCTAGCACCGATTCGATTCGATTCGATTCGACTGAATTCGATTGACAGTGTGCACTGGACATATTATCATGGCGAGTCGTGCCAGAACTGAATTTAATTTGCCAAAAAAATCCAAAAAAATCAAACAAACAAATAAAACCGACAGTTCTAGAAACATTGACACGTGCGACAACGAGAAGAAGTGCATTAAGCCGTCCACATATTGTATTAAGAAGCGCAATTGAAATACCACGTCCCTTTATCGTTTCTTTACTTCAATGGAGGAAAACAAAAGCGGAGAAGGTTATCAATCACTTTGTAACTTTGATTTATTTATTAATGTATTGTCACCATTCTTTTGATTCCAGCATTTTTAGTTAATATCCCCCGTCGGCCATCGGCTGGCATTGCCTGTCATGACCTTGGAGTAACTATTATTATTATTACTCGAAGGTCATGACAGCGTTGTTGTACCAGATAAGTATAACCATTCATAGTAAAGTTGCTTAAGCAGTCCGGGTGTTGCAGCGTGCTGAAATGATATATATGCGCTCGATAAAATCGAAGAAACTATTACATTGCACCAGTTAAACCAGTCCGATGACCATAATTTGTATCGATTTTTTTTCTACACACCCTTTACAGTATTAAAAAAACACATTACCGCATGGATTTTACTGTCTTTAAAGTAGATAATTTTGATGTAAATTTGCAGTTTATCCTGTCAAGCTTTGGATCGAAGTTATCAAAATTGGCGGCCATTTTCCCAATAATTTTCCCACTGACACCATAATATATAAAAATACCTTTCCCCCCC